ATTTGTCAGCTGAAAGAACAACACACAGACAATGTGTTATTAAGCATGCCACCTGGAAACGCAGGTGAATAATGTCTCATAGCCTGGAGGAATGTGCAAAGTGTTACTTATGAAGCTTGACATGTTAGCAGTATAAAGGCCACTGAGCTCTCTACATTTGAAGAGTGCTGTGTTAAAAACATTCAGATGTGTTGACAGTGATAAGCTCCTGTTTTTTTTTGCTCAATAATCTCTTACAGCCTGACCCTGCCACTTCAGATTATAGTTTTCCTTCATGTTTTCTGAACGAGAGCCACCTTGCACACCTTGCTATCGGTCTAGTGCAGCGCCATGGCTCTCTGCATCAGACGAGTCGTCAGAGGGGATCCCGGCCTCACGGCATCACGCTCCACCAGAAGACATCTGCAGGAATTGAGCACAGCACAAGACAGTACAAAGAGATGAACACAGATTGAGAGAGACAAGCCAAGAGGCTGACCTGATCAATAATGAAAGCTGAACATGCTGTTCTGACGGAGACGTCTGTTACATAACCGGAGCAAACACTCCATATGCATGCTGAATAACAGCAATTCAACAAGCAGAGTGGACAGCAGCCCCCAAAAGGCAACCAGATGATATCATGATGAAATCCACAGCTTCAAATAGTGCAACATCGTCCTCGTTTCTCTCTTAATCTCTCAGCAGATTTCCACATTAAACATGGATGGAAGATTGAAGGGCAATGCTGAGTTTGGAAAAAAAAAGCCTGAAGCCTTCTGTTAGGCCTGAAATCCCTGTTGTGCATTACCTTCCCAGCTTCTTGTGGTGCTCATTCTCGGATTTCACGGCTGCATGAATAAGCAGTTGATTGAAGATGTCTCTCTGTAAACAACAATGGACAGAGCCGTTAGTAAACACAGACCTGCTGCAGCACTGTGTGGAGACTTTCTAACCTTTGGTGATAGACTGTATGCGCGAGGCTGCACCTCGGGGGAGCAGCCCTCTGAACACAGAGAACATGGATGTGCGAGGAGTCCATCAGAATCCATCACGTGTTTCATTATTCATACGTTGGAGCACCGGGGCTCCACGTTCTCACATGTTTATGCGCTGAGAGGCTTTTCTCGCCTCTTCACCTCTGGCCTGTTTTATAACAGCAGGGATTTTTTGTTTTACTCAGGAACAAAGTTTGATCAATGCTCTCCAAAATAAAGAGAGAAGAGCCTCAAGGTTGTTCTCGTTTCAGCTGAGCAAAAAAAGAACGGCTGTTTGGTTTGGATGGGATTGTGTTTCCCCTGTCTTGTTTACTCTGAGTTAACCATTTCTGAGCAGCTCACCTGTGCATCACTGCCTCCTATTTTCACGATGTTGTAGCGCAACGGGTACAGCAGCTCCACAGCGCGACTGTAGTTGCCATGGTCGTACTCCACCATGGCCTGACACACGGGTATGCCGACGGTATTAGCCATCTGATGTTGTTGGTTAACTCCTGGCTCTCTGCGGGGACATAAAGACATGACGTGTTACATCTGGAAGCAATCAAAACGAGTGTCGAGAAGGAAACCACATAAACGACTTTACTGTCCATGCACATAGGACGATGAAATAATCTGTGCATCTCTGAAACTAAAGAATAACGTTCACCTCGTGGCCAGATGCAATCAGCCTAACACATGCACATCTACAGAAACAATAGATTCAAAAGTATCAAGGAAACAAGTGCATCCAGTGCTGTCTTCATGTTGTAAATAAAATATAATCAATCAATCAAGTCATGCACACCAACAGCCCAACACTCATGGGTTCAACATTTGATAACATGACAAAGTAGCATGCTCCTTTCAAAGCTCAGTCTTACAAACTGTTTTCTGTCTTTCCTTGCTGGCTTTGAGTCGCTCTCTAACGCTAAAAGTTAAAGGTGATGTTTGTGAACGTAACTGTGCGCAGAGGGACCTTTCTCTTTTGGTGAAACTTTACTTAACACAGTCCTCTACGCTGTAACGATCCTTTACAAGCCTATAAGTTTTGGTTTACACCACATATCAACACCATTTCTCTCTGCACATAAAAAACATTTTAGTCTTAATCTCCTGAATATCTCAGAGTAACCGGTTTAAACAAAGAAATTATATATTATTCAAATTAAACACAGATTTCAACTTATTTTCTCAGAGATGGCAATTAAAGATCTGTTTAGTGAGTCTCTATAGGCATGTTATAGCAGAGTAAATATTATTGCATCTGAAAGAATACAAGCGCCTGAAATGAGTTTTACTCTGGAGCAGTGGTACTCAGACTTGTTAGACTTAAGAGCCACATTGACCAAAACATATTTCTGCAAGAGCCACAATCAAAAAACCTCTTTCTTTCCTAAAATATGTGTGGGGAACACAGTGACATGACATTTAAAGAATAATTTCTGCTGGCAATGTTTCCTTTTTTTAATAATTACTTTGGATTTTTTTTTTTCCAAGTAGGACCTAAAAGAGCCACAACTAGTCCCAAATGAGCCACATGTGGCTCGTGAGCCTCAGGTTGAGTATCACTGCTCTGGATGATATCTGGGTATATGATATATATGGAGCCAGTTGAAGTGGTTTGGGCATCTCACCAGGATACCTCCTGGACGCCACCCATTGGAGGTTTTCCTGGCATGCCCAACTGGGAGGAGACCTCGGGGTAGACCCAGAGTTCCCTGGAGGGATTATATATCCCGGCTAGCCTGGGAACATTTGGGATCCCCCAGGAGGAGCGGGAAAACATTACTGAGGATAAGGTAGTCTGGGTTGATTTACTGCGCCTGCTGCCACCGCCACCCGACCTTGGATAAGCGGAGGAAAATGGATCGATGGATGGAAATATTTTTGCACTTATGACCCATTTTGTATTAAAGAGGTGCAAGGCAAAGGAAGTCTTATCCTGGATGTTTTTTATTTCTCAGCTATGTAAAAACTTAGTTTTACCAACGAGATAAGAAAAGCAAATGTTGAATATTTATTAATTCATCATTATTATTTGGAAATAATAATTTAACAGTAGCTGACCCTGAAAAAAGCCAATATATAATTCATTTTAATTAGAAGGATTTTATAAAAGCTGTGCAAACTTTAACTGAACAAGGAGGAGACTCCAGACAAAAGCTGACAGAAAACTTCAACAATATAAAACAAACTCTCATGTTCAATGACATGAATGATGCCAACATGACCATGCAGTGTCTGTGCTGTCCGAGTCTTCGTCTATGTCAGAGTCTTTTAGATTTTTAGGTATATTTAAGTGTCTTTATGTTACATATTTTCCTTTCTGTCACACTGCTTGGGGCAGGGAGAACAGCATTTCATCTTTTTCATGTCTGCAGAAAAATGAGAAAAATAACAAATAAATGGAATCCTGAAACATGTTGTTACAATAATTAGAAACACATTAATGTCTGCAGGATTTCACAACAGCCCAATCTGTGTGACTCTGTCTCGTTTGTCTGCTCACACCTCATCTAGTCTGCTAAACACCTTCATTCTTCACAGAGTACCCGGTATGTATAATGTATTCACACTGTGTACATCTGTAAACAACTAAATAGAATATAAATATTCACACAAACAGCTCGAGGTCCGTTCCTCTTGGTGAAGGTATTGGAGCATTATTAAAGCTGAACTATGAAGTGCTGTAACATCTAAGAATGATGCATGTTGCTGTAATGTTGATGTTAAATATCACTATGAGGAAATGTGGATTATGTGAAAAACCTCTTCAATCCTTCCAAGGCATAGAAAATAAACATGACACCGTGCTGTAAATGTCAGTGATGGAGCGGAGTAGCAGCAAACATGCCCACATGGACCGGCTGATGATTTCTAGGAGAGCGGTGCTGAATTTAAAGCAGCGGTTTGAAATGGCAGCTTAAATGGAGAGGCTGTCTGTGGTCACACACCGCAGAGCTCCAGAGAGGCGGCAGCTGCTGCTACATCTGCTGCAGTGTGAAGACCTCGGTGTCTGAGACGGACCGCAGCTCTAGAATTCTGAATCCTCTCTCTATCAGGCCTTCTTCCCACGCTCAGTCGTGTTTGTGTCTCACTTTTACATAAGGCCTGCGAGGCTCTTACGTAACGCTGGCAGAGGCGGGGTGCGCAGTGGAGTGGAGAAATGGTGGAGGAACTTACTTGGCCAATTCCTGGAGGCCCTCGAGAAGACGGCGAGAAGTCGCGCTCTCTTTGGCACCCAGCGACGCCATGAGGAAGTGGAAGTCGTTAAACAACGTCACATGGTCGTCGGTGTGAGGCTGCGTCACCTGGAGCAGCTCGCGCCAACGGTCCTTCACGCACACACCTGAAACATGACGCAACACAAACACACATATACTGCTTGAAGGCTGCAAAAAGTCCTTGAAATAACGAGAGGGTCTTTGTTGAGCATATTGTTAGAGAGTTAGTTTTCCCAGCATGCATATCACCTTGAGTGTCGGCTCAATGAGGTGTGATAACTGAGATTAGCTCACTTCATTAGCGCCCGCACTTAAAACCAAACTCTTGAATGAATCCAGTTTCAGTCACAATTTATCCAATTAGCAACACGCTAACAACTGTCCCACCTTCATTGTGCTCTTCAGTGAATTTAAAAGGTTGAAATCACTTCCTGTTTCACTAACACAGACAGTCGTTCCATTTCTTAGGCACAGTGTAAGATTAACCCTTTCATCCCCCTGGCTTACCCTCCATTTCCAGTCTGGAGAGCAATGAACAGGCATCGACGGTGTCCAACATGGATCCTGTGGCTTTACAGCGTCTGAATATCTGAAAGAAAAGGACAGGGAGGGATGTTCCATGTAACCGCCTTCATACAAAGACTTTTTAACGAGAAATGTTCCTGTCTTGCTGGATTCTCCTGACATGAGCTCTGAAACATTTATGAAACTGGGCCTCACTTCATGTAAGAATGTCTGTTGTGTTCAAACGTATGGCGGGGGTAAGTAAAATATGAAATGTTAATGGAAGAAACAGCACAGGGAAGGGCTTTCCTTTAAAGCCGTCTTTTCCTATTTTTAGAGAGAATGAAATAGTCATCAGCTCTGGCAGCTGACACTGATCTGAGCCCTGACATGGATTTGACTTCCATTTGCAGGCACTTGCCTTCTTGACTCAAACACAGCACAACATATTGCTTTTAGTCTGCGTCCCCTGTGTACTGGCCCATGAAGGACTGTGTGTGTGTGTGTGTGTGTGTGTGTGTGTGTGTGTGTGTGTGTGTGTGTGTGTGTGTGTGTGTGTGTGTGTGTGTGTGTGTGTGTGTGTCAAACCTCTTACCACAAACATACCTGAGAATCGAATATATCCAGAGCGGCTTCGTATTGCTCCTGTGGGGGGGAGGGGGGAGGGGAGAGGTGAGGGGGATGAATTTAAATAACTTCACACTTAAGACTTTAGGGAGGTTGATAGATTGTGTTGCACAGATTGCGAACACAAATTAATCTTGCAACATAATCAAGCCCAGACTTCAGATTACCCTGGGGAGAGGATATCATAAATACAAATTCCACAACAGTCCCACTGCAAACTATTCGCTTGACTGAGAAAACTCATTAGCGTCCTTACCTTCTCGATGAAGTACAACGCCCAGTGCCAATAGTTGTGACTGGCCAGCATGTCAGATTTCTGGAAGTTAACAATAAATATTTGATGTTTTTGTTTCCGAGCTCTATTGTCATGTCACTCGGTGGACTCTCATGTACAAACTGAACACGGTTGCTGAGATGAGATTTTGGAGAAAAACACAGTGCTGAGGAGCAGCCAAAGTTTTGTACCTGCCAGTCTTTCTCTCTGCTCTCCATGAACTTCAGGCCTTTCTCCACCTCGGCTCTCATCTCATAAACGTGCGCTACAGAGTGCACGGACCAGGCGTCTTCTGGAGCCAGAGCGAGACCCTGCACGGGAAAGTTTCACACTTTGAAGAGCAACACAGCGTTCCCCTTTGTTTTACAGGAGACACTTTAAAACACGTGTGATGTTACAATGTTGGATGTCCATACTGCACGTGGATCAACGTTTCATATCATGAGGTAAACATATGTGGCAGCAATCCCAGGATCAGTCTGCGCTGAATGGTCTGCTCTGCAAACCAAGCCAGTACTGTCACAGAAATCTTTTACATAGGCTCTCAGCTCCAAGCATGAGTACTGCATTCTGTCCCAACAGAAGGCTTACAGAGCTGGCCAATCAGAAGAAAGTGGGCAATTTGGTAGGGGGGGTCTTAATGAGACAGAGGCATGAATAGAGAGCTGAAAATCCTACAAAGCAACTCTATAAATAAAGTATCTAACGGTTCCACAGAGTGATATGATGAAAAGTGAAAATTTGTAAAATTCTCTTTTAAAGGAGCAATATGTAACTCTGACACCTAGTGTTTAAATTTGGTACTGCTGTCCAAAATCTAAACATTGTAGAGAGCTGTCTCCCCCCGCCCCCTCCTCTCTAGAGTCGATGGTCACACAGGTCACCATGTGGTGGACACTGAAGCTTCAGTGTTTATCCAGCTCTGCATGGGTCTGTAAACCTTTCTGTGTTCTAACCTCTCTCCATTTTTCAAAAGCATCTCCAATATTGATCCTAGGCCGCCTGTTTGGAGGACTACAGCCTCCATACATGGGGCGTGCACACCAACCACTGTGCCACCAGTGCCCCAGGACCTTCATTTTTATTGCCATGGTATCAGAAGAGGTCTTGATATCATTCGATTGTTATTAGAATTATATCAAAGCGTGGCAAAGTGACAACCCTGAAAACAGACGCAGTGAGTCTCTGCACTTCACTGCAGCAGAGTCCAATCACAGCTCAGAAATAATGCGGCACTGGATCCTTCAGAAACGATCTGTGGGTTTATGTCTGATGTGTTTTTCAAGTGACCCTCATCTCTCAAACACTTTGTAGGCATTACTCATTCAGCACAGAGGAGCCGTGCTGCTGAGCTCAGGGAGAGCTGCTTGTTATTAGCATTTGACTGCAAATTACTTGGCGAATTGAACTGACACAATCAGCGCAGGCACAGACAGTCTGGACCACACGGCTTCAATAATGACAACAGAGTGGAAGAAAGACTGTAATGGAGAATCAAAAAAAAAAAAAAAAACACTCACCTCCATGGCTACTTTCTCAGCCTGGTCATACGCTTTAGTTTCCAGCAGACCAAATGAGTACATTCCTTTCAGATAGCTGGGAGCCAAAAAACACACACACACAAACAAAACTCTTATCACAAAACACAGCGTGGAAATAAATTAAACTCAAACACATTCTGTTTATTTGAGGTGATTAAAAGCAGACACGAGTGTTGTGCCTCCAGCATTAACAGCTCAGGGACATTAAGTGCTTTAAAGTGACCTCATCAACATCGACACACAGCAGAGTCAAACTTTTATAAAGTCCACAAGCTGAATCAAAGTGGTGGTGACTGCCTTTACATTATGGCTGTATGGGGATGTGTCCCTGTGCTAATGCTGTGAGAGTATACGGAGGAGTTGTTTCAGTAACACGGACAAAGGGTTAAAAAAAACATGATGTAGAGGAGGCATGAAAGGAAGGAACCACTGAGTCATCTCCATACTTTGGCTATGTGTCACTGAAAGGAAGATGTGCAAGAGAGCAATAATTGAGTCCCTTTGAGGTTATCAGGATGTGTGATTGCAGAGTGAAGCGCAGAATATCAACTGTATGATTGCATGGTTGCAGCTAAGAGTCTCTACTGAAACTCTCTCTACACAAAAAAATACAACGAGCATCTAAACGACCAAGTAAGGGAATCAACAAGGACATCAGTGTGGTCTACACCGTCTTCTTCTGTGACCTTGAGGATCCTTTTTACAAACTGAAGACTTTCCTGCAGACTTTTCTTTTTGTTATTCCTCAGGTTTTTTTTTTGCTAACCTGAAACTAAAATATGATCAATACATCAGGAGGTAATGCACTTTCCTGTGCTTTCTTTAAATTTGCCTGATAATACTAGCTACTTCTGAAAGCATCTAGAGAATTTCAGGAGGACTGGGGGAGGGGGGGTCTCCTGAGGCAAGACAAGACGTAAAAAGAACGACAGTGAAGACAAGGACAAAGCAAGAGAGCCTGCTATATGAAGCTATTAGAATATTTGCCTTTATATCGCTGCTTTGAGTAGTTGGACATGTTCACAATATAAACAAAGGAGTGATGGGAACATACTGGAGAACAGGAAACGTCATGCAGCAGTTTAATAACGTGTAAGGAGATCGTAGCGGTGGCGTGCAGACAGTCTATGGTCGTGCAGCGATCACAGGGAATAAAGGTCATCACCCCCTCCCACTCGCTCCAGGTGAATTCTCCTGATTATATCCTGCTGTGTTCTCACATCAGCTCACTCTGACTTTCTGAAGAATAAATACGAGGAGGCTGGAGGAGAAACTCCGGGTGAAGTCAGAGTGAAACATGTGGCGGTTTTCTTTCACACTTCAGGAGTTTTGTGTGGGTGTGAAAAGACTACATGACTGCAAATATGTTTGCAGTTAAAGTCAGTTAGTAAAAAAAAAAAATTAAAAAAAAAAAAAGCATTGAGAAATCAACCAGGGTGACATTGCTAATAGTTACTATTTAACAAATGACATACAGACTTTGTCATGAGCTGATGTAATCGACGATGTTGTTCTGAAGTGTTCTCTTTTAAACCCTGAACTTGTATTCTCATGTTGTATAAATCTTCTGTCTGCACAACACATTGAGCGTCCTCACTCATGCACGGCCTGCTCCGACCTCAGCAGCGAGGAAGTGTGGACAATAGGAACGAGAGGAATACAAAGGAGAAATCCTTCCTGCATATTATGCCATCTCCTCTAGCCCATTTTTCTTAACGATGAGTAAGGTCTTCTAGCTGCTCTGTTGTAAAGCGTCTCGAGATAACACTTGTGGACTGAGGAAATGAAGGTGAATGAGAGACAAGAGAAGAAGGGCTTCAAAAGAACCGGAGGTGAGAATGAGCAAGAGAGCGAAGAGGGAAAAAATTAAAACCTGCAGAGAGAAGGAGATGAAACCAGGAAGAGGAGGAGAGATGAGGAGGGGGGTGAGAATGAAGTGAAGAGCAGAAGATGAGGGGAGGAGAGAGGAGGAACATCGGTGACAAGGAGCCAAGTGGAGAGGTTTTGGTTTTCAAAATACCTTTTATTTTACCACTACCAGGAGAAAATTATAACACTGTCACATCATCACTCAGATCAAGAGAAGGAAATAAATAAATAAATAAAATAAAAAATAAAACATAAAACAAAACAAGTGCAACAAAAGTCACAACATCAACAAAAACAACATTTACTGCATCAAAAATGAATAATCAGCTCTCCATCCCCACCCACAGAGCACAAAGCTTCTTCCACAGCCCATACACTATTAAAGTCTTGCACATTGTCCATCATTTGATAATAGGCAAATTCTACCTTTAGTCTGGCCTTCAAAAGTCCCTCCAGAACCAGCACCGGTTCCACACAGCCAGTACCCTGAGCTCGGTTCTTGCGTGTAAGCCAAATGGCCAACTTAGCAGAGCCAGATAAAAAGTTCATCAGTGTATGTACAGTCTTTTTCTTTGCAGAATACTTTGGCCCAAAAACAAACACTGCATAAGAGAAATCCTCCCCGAGAGCTTCAAACAAGCTTTTCATAAGGACAAACAAGAGTGAGAGCCTGGGACACTCAACAAACAGATGAGACAAAGTTTCAGTTAGTGAACAAAACAAACACTCCTCTCCCACCCCTGGATCAATGTGCGCTCTGTATCTGTTCGTGGCTATAACCCCATGCACAACTCTCCACTGGAGATCTGCTGTTCTCTTCTCAACAGGCAGCTTGTACAGGGACCGCCAGCTGCCTTTCGGGGAAACCTCCGGGCCAAAAAACTCGATCCACCTCGACTCTTTCACTCCCGACAGACCACGAAGATGTAGGACCTTAACACAGGACTGATAGAGTGCCTTTTTCCCTGCATCCTGGAACTTTCCCAGAACAGGAGTACTAAAGGACAGCAGTCCACCTCCTCTTTCCTGCCACTCCCCGACATCTGGGGTAACAGACAAAGATGGGAAGCTGTATTCGCCCTCTTCACTCCACTGCTCACACAGATTCTCAATGTTTAGAAATGTCACAAGTTTTACTGGAAGTGCAGCAAAGACTTCCTCCACCACTCTTTCAACCACCCGGCTGGAGGTGATATTGGTCCTTTCTTTGAGGGCGTCCAGGGTCAGTCTTACCAGGTGACCCAGTTTTGTGCAGCCTGCCTCTCTGAAACTGGCCCGGAGACTGGCTGACTGCAAAGTTGGAGTCCTTATAAAATCATTAAAAAATAACGGTTCCTCAAAGATCCACATTCCCAGACTCTCAGTTTTTTCCCTTTTGAATGTGTACATTTTCCATGCCTGCATTACAGACATATAAAAGGATGTTAATCCAGTGAGATCCACCTCCTCAAGCTTTAACAGAAAGAGCTGCTTAGTGTACCCCAGCCGTCCAGCTCTCCTCAGCAGCAGTCGAGCGATGTCCATCCAGCTGGGACCACAAGTGAAAAGGAGTCTCTGTGCAGTCTGGAGTCTGAATGAGGCAATTTTTGACTGAATGTCTATAAGTCCATGTCCCCCTTCAGCCACCGGCAGGTAGAGGACTGCCGCCTGGACCCAGTGTTTGCCTGACCAGAAGAAGTCCAGGATGGCCCTTTGAATGTCCTCCACCAGCCCTCTTGGAGGTGTCAAAGCCACAAGTCTGTGCCAGAGAGTCGAGGCAACCAAGTTATTGACCACCAGAACTCTTCCCCTATACGACAACTGGGGTAGCAACCATTTCCATTTAGACAACCGAGCGCACACTTTCTCCCTAACTCCCTCCCAGTTTTTACTTTTAAAGCCCTCGGTACCCAAATAAACCCCCAACACCTTCAACCCCTCCCTCCCCCACTCAAGTCCACCAGGCAGACTGGGCACTGCCTGGTCCCTCCACTCTCCCACCAATAAGGCACCACTTTTTTCCCAGTTCACCCGTGCAGCTGTTGCCCTTTCATACAGGGACAGGGTGTCCCGCAGACACCGAACGTCCCCCTGATTGGAGATGAAGATGTTTACATCATCAGCATAGGCAGAAATTGTAGGGGGACATTCAATGCTACAGGCCGCGGGCAAAGAAAGCCCGCTGAGCCGGTCCCTCAACCTGCACAGCAAGGGCTCAATAGCCAAGCTGTACAGCTGGCCGGAGATGGGACAACCTTGTCTGATCCCTCGCCGTACAGGGATTGGCCGACTCAACCCCGCCCCCATCTTCACCAAACACTGTGCATCCTGATACAACAAACCAACTAATGACACAAAACCATCCCCAAAACCAAAAGACCTCAGTGCAGAAAACAAATACGAGTGATCCACCCTGTCAAACGCCTTCTCTTGATCCAGAGACACAATGCCAACATTTAGATTATAGATTTTACACACATCAATGACATCTCTGATAAGAAATATATTATCCATGATTGTCCGGTCTGGAACACAGTAACTCTGGTCTTTATGGACCACACTTCCCAGAACGTCCTTTAGTCTGTTCGATAAAGCTCTGGAGAGGATCTTGTAGTCCGCACAAAGCAAAGCAACCGGCCTCCAGTTTTTTAACAATGCCAGGTCACCTTTCTTGGGGAGCAAGGAAAGAACTGCTCTCTTACAAGAACCAGGAAGAGACCCGGTCCTGCAACACTCCATTAAAACACTATGCAGGTCAGACCCAAGAATATTCCAGAACCTCTTAAAAAAGTCTGTGGACAACCCATCTATTCCAGGTGCTCTTCCTGTTGCCATCTGAGTGACAGCAGCAGTGAGCTCCTCCAGAGACAGCTCCCCTTCCAGAAGAGACCTCTCCTCCACACTGAGCTGAGGGAGACCCTCCAGGAGCTCCCTGCGACACTCCTGGCTGCAACTCTCTGCTCCAAACAGATCCTCATAGAACTGCATGGCGTGACTGCTCATTTCCTTTGGATCAGCTGTTATTCGACCTCCTGGCAGTTTCAGACAAGTCAGCAGCTTTTTTTGAGCCACAGATCTCTCAAGATTGAAAAAGAAAGACGTTGGGGCATCCATGTCTTTGAGTTGAAGGAAACGACTCCGCACAAGAGCTCCCTTCACCCTCTCCTGCAGGAAAGAGCTCAACTCCATACGTTTCTCCTTCAGCAGGGTACCAGTGGTGGGATCCACACTCCCATTTAACCCCTCCTCAAGGTTCTTAATGTTGTCCTCAAGATTTTTAATGACTGTTTTTAATCTAGCAGAAGAGTGTGACGTGTACTGCTGACAAAAAACACGAATCTGAGCTTTACCAACCTCCCACCAAAGCTTCAAAGAATCAAACTCAACTTTTCTTAATTGCCACTGATCCCAAAAACACCCAAAGTTTTTACAGAAAACATTGTCCAGTAGAAGCTTGTTATTAAAATGCCAGAAGGACTTAGCCCTTTCACCTGGTGAAATAATCAGCTCCACACTAACAAAATGGTGATCAGTGAAGCCGACAGGCAGAATATTACAATGAATTAATCTGGGGTTGAGAGTTCTGGAGATGTAAACCCTGTCCAGTCTAGCTGCACACACCCTGTTACTGTTAACCCTGACCCATGTATACTGTCTGGATTGTGGATGTTTCACTCTAAATGTGTCCAACAAATCCAGGTGAGAGATGACAGTGTTTAAAGTCTGGGATGAATGTGGATGTGGCTCCTCTCCTATTCTATCCACGGTGAAATCAAGTGTGCAGTTAAAATCACCACCAAGAATGATCTGATCCTGATTATAGATCAGTAACTCCTTTTGGAGGCGGGTATAGAAAGCTACCCTTTCAGCTCCATTATTTGGAGCATAAATATTAGTGAAGCAGAAAACAGTGTCCTCTATTTCTGCTCTTACAATTAAAAGCCTTCCCTTTACAATTTCAGCACAAGAGACGATCTTTACATTTGCAGATGCTCTAAACAAAATGGCTACTCCTGCACTAAAGTTGGTGCCATGGCTAAGGTAGTTAGAGCCCTCCCACCATAAACCCCAATCTGTCTCATCTGATGGTGTGGTATGAGTCTCTTGTAAAAACAAGATATCAATGTTTTTCTGAGTTGAGATCTCAGAGATAAGGCCCCTTTTCTGTCTGTCTCTCCCACCATTAATGTTAAGAGATCCTATCTTAAGACTCCTCATAGAAAGATCAGAGAGAAAGAACAGATAAGTAGACACAAACAGGGAGCAGTAGAAGAAGAAAAACACCTTGTGATGCATGATCATTTCTTTGTCTTCTTCACACTCTTACGTCCAACTTTCCTCAGTGCGGTGATGTGCTTTTTAAGACGGAACCGTTTTTTCGCGTCCAGGAGGTCAAACCCAACCTGTCTTTTCAGTATGCTGACTGACTTTATGAACTTTTCAGTATCACTAAAGTAGTCACTGATTTTTACTGATTTGTTGTACGTTTCATCCATAAATTGATTGATTGACTCTAAAGAATAAAGACCAGAGCCACTATTTGGCAAATCAGCAATGGATGCATTGTCTGACTCATAATCTTCATCCATGTCCTCTCCTTCACATGATGCCTGGCTACAACACACTGTCTTACCTTCCTTCAATGAAACATCTACAACTGCAGAACTTGTGGAATCTTCAGTTTTATCATTATCTACAGTCTGTGATTTTTCTGTAGCCTGAGAGCTGGTCGAAGCCACTCTACCTCAGCCACGGCCTCAGCACAAGGCGCAGGCGCGGACGCGGCCTCCGCCGCAGCCTCCGCACGGACGCGGACGCGGCCTCGCCAGGCGCGGCGCGGACGCGGCCTCCGCCCCAGGCGCGGACGCGGACGCGGCTCCGCCCAGGCGGACGCGGCCCCGCCCAGGCACGCGGACGCGGCCGCCCGGCACGGACGCGGACGCGGCCTCCGCGCGGACGCGGACGCGGCCCCCGCCACATGCGCCACACTAACAGAGCTGCCCGCGTCAGCGGCAGCACTAGCCGCCTCCTGCTGTCTGTGCGGACACGCAAAACGTTTGTGTCCCACATCACCACACTCAAAACACTTCAGTTGTCCCGAGCTCGCATACACCATATAAGAAGCGTCACCGTGTTTCACTCGAAAGGAAACCTCCAGAGTCTGTGTGGGCGAATCCAAAAACATGAACACCTGACGCCGCAAAGATTGAACATGTTTCAGTTTGGGATCTTTACACCCTAGACTCACAGTTTTGAAACCACTCGCAAACTTCCCAAACCTGCGGAGTTCGTTCTCTAACAAGTTGTTAGAAATAAACGGCGGAACACCGGATACGGTGATCCGCGTAGAGGGAACCGACAACGGGGAAACCTGCACAAACAAATCCCTAATGAACACACCACTCTCAATCAGCTGATACACAAGAGGCTCACTCTTCAGAAAAACAACCACAGCCTTGTTCATTCGGGATGCATACAAGAGTTTATCATGGCCTACCTGTTCACCTGCAGCTAACAGAACCTCCTCCACGGTGACAGTACCGTTCGGAGGGACTATCCGAACTCCCTGTCGGAGAGTCGGAGGTGGCGTCTCAGCAGACGCCATTCCTCCCTCCAACCCCTCCAACGATCTGTCTTACACAGCCAACAACACTCAATACAAATATGAAAACAATCTGACCTGATCGTGCACTTTGAAAACAGTAGAAAGGATAGCAAACAATTCAATCTCCGCGCCACTCGCAACACCACCACCGTCACTCACACTCACACTCACACTCGGAAACCGGAAACGGAAACGGAAACGGAAGACGGAGAGGAGAGAGAGGAGAGGAGAGGAGAGGAGAGAGAGAGAGGAGAGGAGAGAAGAAGAGAGGAGAAGAGAGAGAAGAGAAGAGAGAGAGAAGAGAGAAGAGAAGAAGAGAGGAACAGAGGGGAGAAGAGAGGAGCAGAGAGGAGAAGAGCAGAGAAGAGAGGAGAAGAGAGATGAGAAGAGAGGAGCAGAGAAGAGAAGAGAGAAGAAGAGAAGAGAGAGAGAAGAGAAGAGAGGAGCAGAGAGAGAGAGAGAAGAAGAGAGAGAAGAGAAGAGAAGAGAAGAGAAGAGAAGAGAAGAGAGAGTAGCAAGAAGGAAGAAAAGGAGGGGGTAAGAGAACAGGAAGATTGGAGAGAGCAGGTGAGGAGGGAGAAGGAGAAGAGATGAAAATATGTAAAGCAGAAAGCAGAGGAGATTTTCAAATACGCTTACGCTGTGTTCTGTACCTGAACAAAGGCTGCTGTGGTTTCCAGTAGGGCAGCACTCTGGCCACAGAGTCCCTCAAACTGTTTTGGGCTCCGATGTAGAAGTAAGAGTCGTGGGAAAACTTCAGAGCCAGCATGTCAGTGGGGTGATCCACCAGAATGTCTTCCCATACATCGCAGGCCCCGGAATAACTTCTGCAAGAGACGAGAGACACAGATGTTTGAAGCAGACTGAATGTACTCAACCATCAGAATCATGAAGACATCAATATGTGTTTAAAGGAGGGAATTAGAGGCACTTAAACATCACAAGGATCATCCAAAATTTAGAAAGGTAACTGAAACCTATGAAGGAGTCTTTTGCACACTGTGGATCTGAGACACTCGACTGCTTCACACCGGGAAAGACTAAACAAGGAGCAGAGGGGGTGAATGAATCTAGTCTGAAAGATAAAACACATTCTTGTAGCTTTCTAAACAAGCGTCATTGTTTCAGAGGAGAACTGTTTCTTCATCACGGGGGTAAACTGAACTGATCTCTTCTCTGTTGGGACCTAATGCTGACTGACTGCTCTGCTGCTCCCACTTCAAAACACGCAGAGCTAAATCAGAGGAAATGTGGGAAGATTTGTGGATCAGAAAATCTCTCTGCGTAAATCAACCAGGCTCAAATCTGTGTTAACGGCTATATTTCAAATCACAGTCAATGAGATTATAATATTCAATATATGATGATGATGATGGCAGAAGATTATGTTGTGAGAAAAATGCCGCTTCATGCCAGTTTTCTAATCTCATCAGGTTGGGTGCGATGGTGGCAGCTGCACTCGCAGTAAAGACGGCGCGCTTGTGTCAGCATTTTATTCTGGTATACGGGTCGCAGACAGCTTTTTAGATTAAAAAATAAGTATTAAAAGTCCTATACACAGGATTTGTGGGTTGTTGGTTTTGAAATAAGTCCCGCCTCTTATAAAGTCAAAGCCAATCATTATCAACAATTTTTGGGTGGCCAATCAAATGATAGGGGGGACCTTGGTGACCCATCTGGACCCGCCCTTGAATTGTTCCTGGACAGCTTTAGACAAATGGTGCATTCATGTGCTGAAGGACACATGGGAAAAATGAGTTTCCAAACTGTAAAACGCACATGAACGCCTGCTCAAGTCAGAGCAACAACTCGGACATTAGGAATTAGGAGTCCGACTTCCCGACTAGACATCACAATCGTCATCACATGGGGGGGTAAAAAATGTTTTGTCAATGTCAAGAGAAGTATTGCAAATCAACTTTGAGCTCAAATTTAACTCGTCTCTCTTAACAGAGACATTCCACACATCTTAATCGTAGCGTACATGCTGTTTTTTGCTGATGTTTTTGCTGATCGACTTTGGGAACTGAAATTACGGTGGTGCGTCCTCAATTTCTAAATCTTGCTCTGCAGCTGCCGACCGCGTCTGCTCCACAGCTGCTGATGCTCATGATATTATTGAGATTCATTTTTCAGAGTACCGATGTGAATCTTGATATCTTTGATTTTACGATTGCTCTTTACATCCCTAACCGCTTTAAGTCCTGGATCGGCCAGATGTTTTTTTCTGCAGTCCTGATTGTAAAACTGAAAAAAAGTCACGAATGATCAAAAATCAAAAAACGATCTTGGATGAACGATACGGACAGAAGGCAGCGTGACGTAGGGTGTTTCCGGCTACGCTCTGCTCCGATGGTGACTGGCAGTGAAGTCTGCTAAACCACTCCGGACTAAATAGAGGAAACTTTATGTTACGACCTGCTCTGCTGCAGTCCTCTGTGATTGACTGATCAGCTGACAGCGCTGTCACTCGCCCAGCAGGAGAGAGACTCAGTGGTACGCTGGGATTTTATAACTCAAACAGAGCAGGACACGTACTCCTTTAACTCCGGCTGTGTGGAAATCTGGTGTTTCCACTAAAGCATGAGTCACAGGGAAACATTATCACCATCAAACAGAACAGACGGTTGGTTTGTTGCTGATTTTAAATAAAATTGAAGAACTGTCGGGAAAGGATGGTGTGGGCTGCTTTTTTTAAAAAGACGATGTTTTGACGGAAATGGACGATGGCATCATCAAAGAGCCGGACCAGATGGAGGAGCAGAGCACAGCTAAGCTTCTCCTTTTTTTATACAAGAAGGATAAAAAAGAATACTTCAAATAACTTGCAACAGAAAACAGAAAAACACACAATATCTCTAAACAGGCTTATTTTTTTTTTTGCTGAGATGAAGCATCGTCTTCCAGTCACTTCAGACATGTAAATGATTGACAGGTGTCATGGCTCCCTCCCCCATCATGTTCTGATCATTTAGGCTTCAATCAGCCCACCGACTTTTGCCCACTGACACAACTGGAGCACAACCTGAACAGATGATAAGACACAAACTCAGCATTTCTTAACTTTGGAAATGATGTATGTTTACTAAACATTGTGAAGTAAGATAGATCATCACATCAAAATGACTGCAACTGCAATAATAATTCTGTCATGTGTTAGCATCAAGCTAACACGCAAGGATGGACATCCCTGGTCCATTAGTGAGACATTGCACCCTTCCCTGGTGAATAATGCACCTGCTGCCACTGCAAGTAGTAGCACCGATCTGCCATGATGCAATCCTGGAACCCGTCAGCGGATTGGCGGACTGAGAATTCTTGAGCGGCGGGGGTGAAAAAGGGCGCCTGCTCTATGTGGTGGGGCACCAGCACACAAAAGAGCATACCACTTTTTGTCCACTGAGCACCCTGGTAGGAAGGACAGATTTGGTTGGAGGAAATGATGAATAAGTCCCAACAGAGGGAGGAGAACATGATGATATTGAAGAAAGATGAGGTGTTTTGTGTTTTTCAGTTCGGGACTCTGCAGAACTCAGTTTTAGTTTGATATCAATACATTAACGCCCACTGGACTTTAAAAATGTATCTTCCTTACATGCACTCTGTGAGTAGTTACACACATTAAGATTTTTTTCTCATAGTCCACTGCACAGCTCCTACATTGCACCTTATGTTCATTTTGTGTTTTCTATCTTTATTTTTTACATTTTTAAATTATATTTTATTTATTGTAATATCTTCTGTATTATTTAAGTTGTTGCTAGTTCTGCTTTATTTCCTTGTTAATTGTTTAGCACCAATACACCAAGTCACATTCCTTGTATGTGTAAATGTACTTAAACCCGATTCTGATTCTGATTCTGATTTCCCTGCATCGAAGAAGGTGGTCTCCAAGAAATAATTTGATTCACTACACTCCCAGGGGATATGTATGACCTCGTCAGAGCATAAATAGCTGATATGTTCAGAGATTGGTTTAGGCGGCTTTGGGCTCAGAGGTAGAGTCGGCCGTCTCTCATCGGGGAGGTTGTGTACTGAATCCCCAGCTCCTGCAGTCACGTGTTAAAGAGTCCTTGGGCAAGACACCAAACCCTACATCACTCCTGCTGCATAACCAGCAGCATGTGAATGGTAGAGTCCTGATGGGAAGCAGGTTATGCAGGAGCGGAGCCTCTGCCATCAGTGTGTGAATGTGGCTAGACTAGAAAAGCATTTTTTTGTTTTAGACATCTTGTTACAACGATTCAGAACATTTCAGGAGTTGGACCTGAGAAAAACCTAGAAAAAAAGTCTTCTTCATGCCCCCCTCCTCTGAACCTGCCCTCCCGTAGAGACTTACCCGCGTGAGAAGAGCTCCATGGCCTTGACATGAAGCCTCTCTCTTGGAGAGATGTCCTGGCTGATTGCCAGCTCCACCGTGCGCTTCACATCGCCGGCCAGACTCTTGTTCAAACGGATGGAGCTTCCTGTTCCTGCCAGCTCCAGCCCCGTGCTGATCACATGACCCATAACTACAGGCAAAACAGATCACACGGGTACTTCTTTATTGACTCTTTTACAACACAACAACAAATTAAACTCAGTTGGACTTTGGTCTTTTCTTTTGATGCACCGGCAGATATGCAAAGAGGACGATTTTAACTCTCTCATGTTTAAAAAAAAAGAGAAGAGATTTAAGGCTTTCATCTTCCTTAAGTACCCTCAGGATAGAGTGAGTTTGTTTGCATTTCATTTAGCTAAATCTGGATGTTTATTCCAGTCATTAATTATACTTTATGATAAAAACCTCTTTTGTTTCTGTCAAGGATGACGAGTTTAAAGATGGTGAATGTTTGAGTTATACATTCAGATCGGATGCATTCATCGTGTGTGATTCATGTTAGGAAAGAAATCTGAAACCTGTAAAAGCTAATTGTGTGTTTTTCTTACATAACCACCACAACATAAACAGCATTTGAAAGGCCTGGTCTTGATTATTCAAGCAGCTTACATGTTCCCAGGAGCTTCAGAAAGTGTTTAACCTGGGATAGAAGCTTTAAACATGGACGTGACCAATAACATTAACCACGCCTCGGCTCAATTCACTGCAAGACCTTCCAGCATGCAAATCATTCGAGATAGCACGCAAAATACCTCAAACATTGAACCGTGTCACCTGAATGGATTACAGTCACACAGGTTTACTGGATGTTATCAATTACAGCTGCTCTTTATGTGCATATATGTCTTCTAACATTCAAGATTCCTGCCTTTGGAAAGTGGAGCTGGTTGTTAAGTTGAGCGGGATCTCTCCCTCTGTTGACATTAAGGAAACATGCTATGAAATGAAATGATAAAGTGACCTTACTATATGATCAGACATTAAGGAAACATGTTATGTTGAAGTGCTGGCTTCTCTGACAACAATGCAGCAGTCAGTATGTCCTCCTTCTAATATTAGATTCTGGACCTGAATGCTCTGGATTTGTTTGGACCAGAGAAGGTAGGCGGTTTTAAGGCACCCCCCAACACACAGCCGTTTTGGACACCCCTCAGTTTGTCAGATATGAGAGCAGTTATCAGGTCAAACCAACAGGTGTTGTAGTGATGGAAGTGGTCAAGAGAAGTGGTTCAGATAGAAGTGATTGTACCCGACCTAAAAAGCCTCTGCATGTTTCTAATAAGCTCCACGAGCAGAAACGTGCTCAAACTAGGATCAATATTGGAGATGCTTTTGAAAAATGGAGAGAGGTTAGAACACAGAAAGGTTTACAGACCCATGCAGAGCTGGATAAACACTGAAGCTTCAGTGTCCACCACATGGCAACCTGCATCGACTCTAGAGAGGAGGGAGGGGGGGAGAGAGCTCTCTACAATGTTTAGAATTTCGACTGCAGTACCCGTTTTAAACACTAGGGGTCAGAGTTACATATTGCTCCTTTAACTCTGCTTCCTCTGATCCAGCTCTTATTGTCTCTTTTAGGACATAAATGGTTTACAGCAATGTGCAAAAGCCTAAGTTTTAGCTAAGTTTTAATGAACATCGATATCTATGACTCAGCCTCTCAGCCTCAACCAGAAAAATATGGTAAATATGCAGGAAAAATATTGTATGATGATGTATTTAGTGTGACCTCCCTTAGCACTTAGCACACATCTTGAATTCTTTTGAAGAGGCCGTGTTGAAGTTTTCTTAAGAAACCTCTTGTGTTTATTACACCAGGCTTCTTTCAGCACATCCTCTGAAGGTTTAGGCTCTTTTATTTTGTTCTTTGTCAAGGAGATCATATACTGTCTCTATAATATTCAGGTCTGGTCTTTGAGGAGGCCACTCAATGATCATCAGTGTTTAATCAGCTGGTTTTCTCTCTGAATAGGATTTCACAGCGTTAGAAGTCACAATCAAGCTCTTTTTCAAAAGGGGTGGGATGAGGATATACAATTACTCTACTCTAACAACGACTCTACTGTTGGCCGTTAGACTTTCGGACAATACTGTAGTTTACAAGCGTATATAAAAGGACTCACCAAAGTTAGGGTCAGCTGCCAGCAGAGCAGAAATGCTTCCTTCAATTCCTCCCAGGGTTTCATCATTCTGCCATTTTACATACTAAGAGCCAAATAAAAATTGATATGCTGTGAAAATGCATTTCTTTTCCCCACTTGCAGTTGTCTGCAGTCATAACAGTGTGTGACTAAAATACCTGAGTGAGAACGGCGTCGTAGAGTTTGCATGCCTCATTACTGCTGGTGGACAGAGGGAGACCCTGTGCCCTCCAGGCCTGCAGGAAAAACCAGAACTCACGAGTCAAATACAAATACAGTCAAAACTTATTGAAAGCTGCAGTGAGGAACTTTTAGGCTGGGTTGATTTTGGAATCCTCTGTCGACAAAGCGGGACAATTTATCTCTTAAGATCTCTGTAAGATAAGACAAAGCTTTATTTATCACACAATGGACAAATTTACAATGCAGCAAAGAGCAAAGAGCAAGGATTGTCATAGAAGAGCACCCAGTGCACAATTTAATATAAGATAAAAATTTCAGACAAACTGTCTTTCACTCATTATTTCTTCTATTTTGAATTTCTAACGCTGAACTCACAATGAATCGTTTGCATGGAAACATTTGCAATGGCCTCAAAGGACACCTACCCCGAGGCAGGGTGACAAAATGACCCTTTAGAAATAATCACTCTTCCCACTGATGGTCTCTTTTGCTAGTGTAGGTCATGAAGGGGCAGCAGTATTTGAGTCTATTTCATAACTAGGCTATTTAGAAACTCCTCACATAAGCTTGGAGCTTGTTACCTCAGAGTCAAAGTCAAAGTCTGTGGAAACTTCAGCTCAACTTCATGTGGAAATTCATCTCAATGATTGAAACATTTTTATTTTATTTTACAAATCACAAAGAAGAAAACTGCATTTTACAAATCACAAATAAGAAAACTGCATGATCTGGTGTTACGGTTTAAATGGTTACCGTGTGAACTGGAGACTTCCAGCTGGCTGTCATAGTTACAACACATTTCGAAGACAGAAAGTTTCACAACTAGTGTCGCTATGTTTAATTATTCGATAGACGTGTGTGATTAGTATTTTTTGACATTTTAATTGAAAATGTCACTGGCGTCTTCGACATGTGTTGTGACTACAAAAGAGCTGCAAGTCACCAATTAACACGGTCACTCTTTACACCGCAACACCGGTAACAGATGTCCCCAAACAGGACTCCAGATAACCACCGCGCAGATAACCTGTGATAATTTTCTTTCTCACATGTTTATCTGCTGCACAACATCATAATGTTGCATTTTAAGTGAACTATGACTGCAGTGTATTCCAGTCCATGCCAGACTAGTCCTACATGCACCCTGTCAGACTCACCAAACTCTTATATAATCCTAACATATCGAAGAATGCGAATCTCTGTCAAATTTTGCAACTTTTCACGATGAAGTTCAGAAAAACACATGAAACACAAACCTCACAGTCTTTGAAGCTTGAAGCATTCATGTTGTCGATGTCGCCTTGTTTGCGTTCACTTTTGCACAACTTTCCCACAGGCTGCGTAAACCCTTTCACCTAAAGCCACTGCAGCTACGTCATCTGATAGGGAGAAAAAAACAAGAGGGGAAAACCGGAAGAAACTTTGATTTACTTACTTCACTTTCAAAATAAGTGCATGACAAAGTGCATGACTTTTTATCTATATATTTTTTTTATATAGCTTAAACTTAACAAAAAAATACAGAGTACAGTCTAGACCTGCTCTTTTTGTAAATTGTCTAGAGGTAACACTTGTTATGGATTTGTGCTATTAAAAAAAGATTGATTCATTGACCAGAAAATAAATAAAACAAATTGTGACATTTCCTATCAGGAGATCTAATGATGACTTATGATGAGCATTTATTTGGATAGGACATAGAGTAGGAAAATAGAAGAGAGAGCGGGGAATGACATTTGAGAAGGAGCCACAGATCGGACTTGAACCCGGGACGCCCGTATGGAGGACTATACCTAACCGCTAGGCCAACTGCGCTCTGTGAGTAATCTTTTTAACAGGAATTGATATAATATAACAATTGTTTTATATCACTTATTATCGTAGAAATCCTGGAAAATTTCCAAGGGAGGAAGAGTCTACCCCATAAGTTGATTGGAAATGGAAATTGGAAATGTAGGAATCCACTTCTTGAGGGTTTATACTCTGGAGTAAAAGGTAGATTTTCCTTACCCCTGCTAGTCTGAGCTAGCATCCATTAATCTGCAGGTGAGTTCTTTGTAACAGATTCATACGTATGACCTCTAAAGAGTAAAGCAGACATCAACCGTACCTTTTAAATTGTCTGAGCTGGTTTTATGGAAGAGGAGAGAAAGGGAAGTGCTGGCTTGGACAAAATGATGATGTACCTGATGAAGGTTGGTTAGACCGAAACGTTGTCAAAATAAATATGTAAGCATAAAGCGAGACAGTGTGCGGGAGCCTTTCTCATTGTCTTTAACTTTTACTCTCCTACAACGCACCTGTCACACATTCAGGTGTGCAGAGATTTTCTTCCAACGTTTAAAAAAACCACGAGTGAAATAAGCCAAACGTGGAGTCTTCATCATCTTCAGTTTCAGATTTTTGTCCTTCTTCTTCATAACAGCTGCGATTCTACAGGCTGTTGAATCAATTGGCAACTGCTTGTGGCCGCAGACCAGTAGGGGGCCCCTGAGGGGTCCAAAATTGGCAAATTGTGCCATGACAGTAGGAAACCTCCCTAAGGGGGCCCCCTCTGACAGCACTCACTTCATTGCCCTGCTAAATGTATCAATGACAGTCACCGATGGAAAAGGGAGAGGAATTAACTGTCTATAGGATGGAAAAAACAAATGGGGGGCAAAAGGAAGCGGAGTAAGCGTTGGCTGGCAGACATACCGGGGATGGTAAATGGTAAATTGAGCTTATATAGTTCTTCTCTAGTCTTCTGACTACTCAAAACGCTTTTACACTGTATGTCACACCTACCCTTTCACACACTGATGGCAGTGATCGCTATGTAGTATCATCCATCAGAAGTAACTAATCGCATTCATACACCGCAACCGAAGCAGCGGGATGAACACTGGTTGGAGGGCCCCCTTCTGGTCTGGCGCCCCGTAGTGGTTGCCTGCCTTTCCTGTTGACAAGCAGCGTCTCTGCTCATAACAAGTAGCTCAAGCTCCGCTATGAGAAAAATAAGGTTTGAGAGCAGAGGTCTACAAGGTCGTTAGCTGTGTGCCAATGAGACAGACGATCAAAACGTATCCATGGCAACCGTCAAGAAGGAGATTTGAGTGGACAAACACGTAAAAGAACAACTGCATTGTTTTATTGCCGTTTTTTTTTTTTCAGCATACATCCAACACCCCTATGCATCTCAGCTACATGAAGCATTTACATTACACGTCATGTGTCAACGGAACGCTTTAAAAATTAGGATTCATTTTTTCTTTACATATAATACAGTTTGCACACATGTTAATAAATATCAATACAATCATTTTCAAACTTATCTCACACCAACTAAAACAACAACCCTTTAAAATGATGTAACTTTGTGTTTTGAATTCACAGCTCATACCAAGTCATAGATATATATCCTCTAGTGTCCCTGTGCTGCTGCAGCACTATGACCACTTCTTACAGTTTGTTTGGACTGATCCTGTTTGATGCATGGTACTCATGAAGTATTCACTTCAGCGCCCCCCCTTTTCAAATCACCTTCTGTTTGTTTGTGGAGCTGCTGTATAAAAGTATTTTAAAAGAAAGAAAGGTAAAAATCTCAGGTTTCAGTTGGATAGACGGATGTGACATCCTCAAAAAACAATCAGCGCACAGAAATCAAATATTATGTAAGTACAGAGAATGAAAATGAAAAAGGCATCTTGTTGGGGGGTAATGTATTAACACTGCCATTTAATGATGAACATGTTGTGTAGTGTGTTTATTTGTGGTGTTCTCCTCTGATATTGCAGCATATCTACCAACAGAAACATTCCTGTGGCACCAGTAAGTCATATGAGCTACGCTGATCTCCCTTTAACAACCATGAGGTCAGCTTTGAGTATGATTACATCCCAATGTGAACACATGTGGAAGCAAACGGATCTGATATGAAGAGTTAACATCCCATATTGGATAAGGACAACTCTCTGTAAACGCAAACTGTCAGTGTGATATACAGTGAACGGCATGTCAAGGAGAGTCCCCTCATTATCCAGGCATGTGAAATGCTTAAGTGATCATATGCACTATAGTCTGTATTCTACATCCTAGTAACCAAAGACAAGGTTACGCTTTTCTATTCCAAGCCTTGCAGCCTTCATTCCTGACATGCAGTGGCTTGTGGGTGCATGGGAGATGTGCACAAGTGCAAGATAATGAGATTGTGGGCACTCTCCTGTGAATGCAAAACAAAACAAAAGAAAAAATCTGTTAAAAGCAAACAAAGATAATAAATACATTAAAAAAACATGGCCATGCTTTATGAATTCTTAGTGTTGACTCTCTAAACACTGTGCGGGGGGGCGGGCGGGGGGTAAGGAGCCTCGTCTTTGTGGTTCGTGTGTAACTGAGAGAAAGGCAGCTCCAGCAGAGGACGTCCTTCCTGCAGTCTGACTGAATCAGACAAAACTAGAGATTGAGACTGGAGACATCACCCCAGTGTTTAAACGCACCTCTGCACGGCAAGGGGAGGGGGAGAGAGAAGAGGACCCCTGCTGATTATGTGACTTGTTCTACACAACTATACACAAAAACACAATTTCTTTACAATTCCTTTACATCAGCAGGACTGAACTGCATTCTTCCCTTTAGACAATCGAGGATGAAACAAAGTCTTTAAACATTCGCCCAAAGCCCCCTCCTCGTTTGAGAGGTTCCACATCAAGGCTGGGACGATAAAGCTGTGAATGCACTCGCCTCTTCAACCACAGAGAGAGAGAGAGAGAGAGAACGAAAACTGCAAAGTGATTAACTAGGACTGCCTGTGGGCAGAGGATATGTAAACAGACTGCTTTAAGGTCAGATACAGTCGTAGTGTTTGTGTGTTTGGGGGCATTTTCACACATTCACTGCTGCAGGTGTTAAGCAGAGTCTTCTGATCAAAGACGACCACTCAGTCAGTTCTTTTCCCCCCAGGACTTGATAAACACGTGCGTCACTCCCCTCTTAGGCCCAGTTGAGGTTGAAGCCTTTAGAGAGCATCACACCCTCCAGGTCCTTGTCCTCCTCCTTCTCCCGGAGCCTCTGCTCCTCGAGGAGAGCCACCAGGGAGTCCCGCTGCTCCACCACCTCCAACATCTCATTGAGGATCTGCTTCTCCTGAGCGAGCTCCTTCTCCGTCTTTAGCTGGTCTGAGAGGGGAACAGGGAAAACAAGGAAGCGTTAAAGGAAGAATGTGCGACTTTTTGATCCAGCAGATGTCGCCCTTGAGCACCAGCATGAAACCAAAACAACTTGCGGTGCATTGTTGTGTTAGCATGCTAATGCTAGCGCTCTTTATCTTCACACTGCATGTAAATTTACACAAAATGACTGTGACCTAGAAACGCTTACATGACATTCAAATAAGCAGTGAGTACAGTATGTTATTCTTCTTTTCTCTAGTCCCTCAATTAAACAACCTTTATATGCGAGGGGATGAGCCGGCCGGCACAGTGCTTCAACTTTGACCCGTGTGAGTGCGCCCTTTGTCAACACTCACCTTCCACTGCCATCCGCTCCCTGAGTTCCTGCTGCAGGCGGCTCTGTCGGTCCTCCAGCTCCAGCTCTCTGGCACTTCAGGACAGAAAGAAAAAGCCGGAGGAGTTAAGTTTGCTCCACGGATGAGTAATTAGCTTGTAAGCATTTATAGTTTTTGGGAGGGCTGTATCTTCATTTAACTAAATGAGATGTATTTATATTCATTAACGGTTCCCGAAGAAGATGAATAGTTCATGTAATGTCTGTCAGCCCCAGATAATAAGAAAATAGTGGATCATTTAATGAACTATCCAAATTAAAAGTTGTTTCTTTCTACCATTTGCAAACGCCATCAAACATTTAATACCCCTAAGTAGTAATTATACACTCCATCAAAACCAACTATTTATTTAAATCATAGTGCTTTATAAATTATAATCACAGAAATAAAGACATGAAGTGCAGAATATCTTTATCATCTATCATCACTTAGAAGAGCCTGGAAGAGAAATGAAGAGATATTACGGCAGAGAATGTAGAATGTAGAACAGATTTATGACACTTTCAGTGAGGCCAGTTTGAGGTTCAGGGAATGATAGTGATATTTATGAGTCTGTTTTTATTCCTTAAATGTTAAAAAAGATATAAAGGCAGCACATCTCAAATTCAAAGGAGGACAAACATGAACATTTCACTTTGTTAAGAACACCTGGTGGTGCAACCTGGACACATCATCAGGGGTCAGGGGTCATCGGGTGTTTTCGAGTCTTTTCATAAGACATCCTCACCCTGGCGACCCAGCCGGGGGTGATCAGGCCCTGACTTGTGTCCAGGTAGCATACATAGCCATGTGTCACCCCTCTTCCATCAGAGCCATCGAGAAGCCTTCTCAGCTGCTTCCAGGATGTTCTCGATGTCTCTCTCTTTCTTTCGTAGCCCAGGACCTGGGGAAGAGACTGGCCTGCAAAGCCCCTACATCCCTCTTCCACAGGCTCACTATTTCATTTGGCTCACATCACAATAAACAGACGCTTACACGTTTCGGCACAAGGCCTTTCTTCGGAGCGTTTGAATAAGCTCTTTTGTCTGTATTAGAGTAGTGAGACAGCTAAGCATCTTTGGGAATAACGATGTACTCACAATATCATGAGTTCTGACTCGTAGCGGACCAGGGCGTTTTTCTCCTGCACCAGCTTGAACCACTCTTGCATCAGCTTGGGATCATCCTTCTTGCCCATGCCTGGAAGGAGAGGGCGAAGCACAAAGAGAGAGTGAGACAGGAGACGACACTGATGTCACACAGACAACGACTCAAGGACCGACGCAGGCGATGCGATGAAAGCCAAGCCAGGATGTCCTCGCTGAAGAGGGGGGGGGTGTGAGGTGGAGGTGGAGGGGCTTGACTACAAACGTGGTCAGTCACGCCATACTGAAAGATGGCGTCCAGAAGAGGGCGTGGAGCTACAGGTTTTCAACTTTGACATGTTCGCACACACAGACATAAACACACGCAGCCCACACACGCACGCACGCACGCACGCGCATGGACAACACCTGTTGTTGCAAAGTTGAGAGTTTGTGTTACCCAGTTTGGACATTGTGTCAGACGTAGCTGCAACTACGTCTGTCTATCTGTTTTTTTTGTTTTTTTTCAGAGACGGTGGGTGGTAAGGGAAAAAAAACCAAAAAAAAAACACCAATCAGACGCCAAGAGATTACAGAGTAGTAAACCCCAGAGCCCATTGAAATTCTTTATCCTCCCCTGCCCACATATTGACCCACCACCAGAAATTAAATCCTCCTCAGATCACATTCATGCTGAGCCGTGTCAGTGTAAATGGGGATTGGCTAATTATTTGGCTGCCTTTTCATATTCAATTACAAGGTCAAATGTTCATGAGATGATTGTCAATGAGACCAACAGCAGAGCTTAAGCTCCTGCATTAAGTCTGCGTCAGAGAAAAGCATGTTTGGTGCTGCAGGACTCATGCAGAGTAGGTCTTTTAAAAAAATCAGCTCAACTGGCACGATGGAGCAGCTGCATACTTTCTCCTGCAGCCCTCTGCACTCAGATAAGACCAGCCTGGCATGCTCAGAGAGGTCTGCTGCTGGAGGGATGCATCCTTTTTTCATTTATCTGACTGAAGCAGGTGGAGCGCCAAGCGGTTTCAATGAAACGCCGGAAGGCAAACCTCGATGCAGCGTGACATACTTAGCTGGGGAAGAGGAGGCTCTTCCAAAACAAAAAGGAAAAACATTGTGCACACATAAACTGCGTAGTTGTGGTCTCCGGGGCCGGTTTTGGCTAATTAACAAGAAAAGAGAGGCAAAGCTGGAGAAGAGCTGCTCACACTGAAGAGGAACACAACATGTGGAGACAAAGGAGCAATTATAAAAGCAAGCCTGAGTTTCCAAACCTACCCCACTGTTTTTTTTATTTCTTTAACTCTTACACCCTGATCCACCGTAACCACCCCTCAGCCCAAGGCTCCAAACACAAAGGAGAGAGAGGCGACCGGTACAAAGCCGAAACAGCAATAAAAAGGAACCAGAAACAAGACGGCGCACTGAGAAAAAGCATGTTTCTTCACACAGATCAGGAGCACGGGCAACATTTCCACTGACAGGTGTTACACGCTGGAACAAACCAGATGAGCTATTCATTTTCTAAGACTTGTTTTTTTTGTGGAAGACTCGGATATTAATAACAAATCGTCACACCATGCAACTTTCTCATTCCTTAAACCGCAAACTATAGCCGCGAGCCACGGCTCAGCGCTCACTTGTTATTATCATTTCATGATTACATGACACACGTTACATTCAGTTGAGGCAAAAATTTAGAAGACAAAAAAAAAAAAACTGCCAAAGTGAATACTGCGACAGACTCTGCAGCCTCATGACTCAATTTAACAAAAAGGAGAGCATGCTGTTAAAGACACAGCAGCACAGCAGTTTCCCCCCTAAATCAAAGCACCTCCCTAATAGATTAAAAAGAGCTTTTCTCCAACCCAATGTTTTTGTGTTTTAATGAGAATAATGTTACTGCAAAACGACACTGAAACAATGACATCATACATCACTGAGTGTGTTGATATCTTAAATGAAGGTTTTGTTGGAGGAGGGTGTGCATACCACAGATCATTTAAGACGGATAGATTTCTCTTAACTTGTTTTATAGCTTCTAGTTTGTTGTTTCTCTTTTAATCGCTCATTTATCTTCTTATTATCCTCCGTTTCTTCTGGTCTCAACCTACGCTGCCGGGGTTTCTGTGTTGCCCGAGTTATTATGTTGGGAGAACTTCAAATACTGTTCTGGGTCTGATGTTGGTCGGGTTTTTGTTTGGGTTCTTTTCCTGTTGTTGTTGTTGTTGTTGTTGTTGTTGTTGGGGGAGTTTGCCTTTCAGTTATCGATGGACACATTGCTCTCCTACAGACCTGTCTGATGACATGGAGGTGCGAAGGCTTTTTCCTACTTCGGGTGAAGTTAAAATAAAGAAATGTTCAAGTCTTGAACGTGGCAGTAGCCAAGGACCTCGAATAGAAAGTTTTAAAGATTATATCTGTCATGCTCCACATTTGGTTTGTGGAAGATAAGCGCATCAATGAAATAACTGTGTACTGTTATGGTGAATATTTTAGAAAAATGACAAACTGGACAAAACCTTTACCAGGTTACGTCTGATAAGTGAAAGCAGTTGTTATGAAATGTATTTTTTTGAGCAATTTTCCAAATTTTTGATTACTTTCCTCATGAGTAACGCCTCAATTCTTCATTTCCTGTCAGGAACAATTATGGGGAAATCCACTGAGCCTGATCACGCAACAAACAGTGAGAACACAGTGGGAGGACCGTTAGGGTGGATAACAGGAAGGGACCAAACGGGGTGGGGGGTTGGGGGGGGTTATCCCTGCACTGTAGATCCTTACGGCTGCCATGGTAACCTGCCACAACCGTCAGCATAGGCGGCGAGGTTACGTTACCTTCAGGGGAACAGCAGGGGCAGAAGGAGAGGGGTCTTCGTCGAGGCATCCCCACATAGGGCTCAACTTCCACAACACAAGGGGGAAAGAGCGTGAGGAGGAGGAGGAGGGGGGCGGAGGGCGGGTGAGAGAGGAAGAATGATGGAGGTGATGCCGGAGGAAGAGCAGAGATGTTTCGTTAAGAGGCAGAAGGTGGGCACACAGTTTGCGTGGAGGGGGGGAGGGGGGGGAGGGGGGGGAGAAAGAAACCAGATGATGAGGGAGAAACAACATTGAAGAGAAAATCAAAGGAGGGCAGGAGCACTGCGAAAAAAGGGAGAAGACAAATCACCTGGAGAGAGGAGGTGGGAGAGATCAGCTGTGTGGTGTGAGGGATGAACAAAGGGATAAAAATAGAAAACAGATCCAAGCGGAGACAGAAAACTCAGAGAACATGGAGAGGGAAAATAATCCTCCTGTCGTTCTTCAGATAATCTTTAGTTAGGCAACTCGGATATGTAACGGGAAAAGTCGACACATAGGGCCACTGTTTACCAGAGTACACAAAATAATTTAATCCCATTAGAAGATCCCATTTACTGATCACCAGGAGATCCGTCTCCCTCACAGACACAGATAATTGCTCCCACTTTAAAGCTGTTTCAGCCTCTTCTCGCCAACATCACAACATAAGACCTTCTATTTCCTCGTGTGATGACATTTGAAGTGTAGCTGCTATTGAAGTGCAAATGAGGACTTTTAATGATATGCACCCACTTAGCTGATTGTTCTCACCAGAGTAAGATCATAGACGGAGGATGTTCCCTTAATAATCTTAAAAGTAAAGACTCAGTAGGTTTACATGCAGTGAGAAAACGTCCATTTATTTTGTTATTCCGACTTAAACAGGACTTTTAAAAATATATGCAAACCAGTTTGTTCCTCCAGGTCGGACTAACTTACATAAATAATCAGGTTGGAGATTGATTAACGCCTCAATCACCCTAACTCGATGAGGCATTCTGCACATGCTCCAAAGTTACCGCACAGGTGTTATGCGGAGAAACGCATGCCTGCCGAAAACTGCACGCACCCCGCAGTACAGTTTTAAAACGATGTATACTGTCGCTCCGATTTCTGGGGGGAAATCAATGATGACAGCACCTGAAGTTTAGAATTGATTTAAGTGTTCTTAATGCCCTATAGAGTGAATAGAAAACATATTTTCATAAACCTGCGTAAATATGCACTGCTGCTAACGGTGTTTAATGTGTCTGAAGAGGAACTTTAAGGGTTGATGCAAAATACAGCAGATAGAATATGTGTCTGCCATATTTTCCATTGCACCGCGAGTAGCATGCGATTATCAGCAGGCATGCATTTTCTCTGCACAACACCGGGTGCTGGAGGGATAGTGTGCATCGCGTTTGTACCAGAAGTAAAGTGTAGATAATGATTAAAATGTTCAGAGCTGTAGAGCTGTCTATGTTTTCACAGTTCTCTTGCCAACATGTGGAGCTGGACATCCATTACTTACATAAATAAAAAATATTTCTCTCTCGGTGTTTGTATACTGGATAAATGCCAGGAGGCCAATTGATCGAGCAAAGACCGTCTTGGACTTGATGGTGCATGTAAACGTACTGAGTGAGGACATGTAGAGAACTAATGGAGACATCTTTGTGATAAGAGCTCGTACAGGATAAGGGCTTGTACCATTAAAGGACTCAAACTGGGGGGCTGCTGGGAAAAGGAGTTTGTAAGAGTGAAATACCAGATACCTGCTTCAGGGGACTATCACAGAGCAGAGACTGTTCTGCTGGGAACACTGAAGGTTTTGAACATCTAGCAGCCCGGGGGTCCAGGAGGCAGACACACTCTGTACTTTTATGAATAGACTCTGAACTTTCCTTTTTGATAAATCTTAAAGTAAGGGCTGGTGCAGGTATCCACATCTTTTCCTGCGAGCTCTTGAGCTCTCTTAGGTTCCTCGGGATCGTTGGTGGACAGCCTGCCTGAACAACTCCCAACCCCCACCCCCGTTTCCTATCCCTCTTCCTGCATCCTATCCCATCTCCCCCTATCCCATTTTCCAGACCGGCGCAGTTTCGGTAGTTTGCTGTTTCATCATGAGCCTGGATTTGCCCAAAGTTTTTTCTTGCCACTGTAACTTCTGCTAAGAAATGTTGCTTAAGTGCTCATAATAGATTAACGTTGGGTCTTTGTTATATAGCAATGAGGAAGGACTTTTTACCTACTCTTTTGTAAAGTGTCCCGAGATAACATGCAATATAAATAAAGATGGATTGATTAATTGATGATCAAAGTCGTCATAAAGCTTTTATATGATTATGGCCTTGATACAAATATAGGAATGACATTTACTGTGAGCACTTTAAACCCAGTAAATCCACATTTATTGTAATCATTGACGTAAATAAACTCTCTTTGTTGTGTCTTTATAACGAGGTCACTCCTCCTCAAAGGATCCTGTGATCTTGAGAAAATAAAGGTTTTTCACATGACATGATTAATTCAGACAGAACTGCTTGTTTTCTTCAGATCATGGGGAAAACGCTGGACAGCTGAAAAAGATGTTTCTCATTTGATCGCACTAGCTTCAGGGCTTCATCGTTCCTAACCAAACAGTGACTGAAGCACCATCTGATTGGTCGATCAGTAACGTGTGTTTGTCAATCAGACATTTCCTGAGGAACATTAGTGTACAAGTTAGGAGAGAGGCAGGGTGGGTCGAAGCCTCTGTGTGAGAGGTGAAAGCTGTGTGTGTGTGTGTGTGTGCGTGTGTGTGTGTGTGTGTGGAGAAGAGAGCTGTATGAAGCATGTTGAGCAGATTAAATTCATACGTGAACAACGTGTGTTTTGTGTTTTAGTCACTGTGCAGCTCTTTGCTGTTGATGCCCTCCTTTAGGTGCCACATTCATGTTTGTACAGTACACACACTGTCCTGGTGAAGCAACTATTGATGTCTAAATTGATTTTTTTTAAGATTTATTTTTGGGCTTTTTGTGCCCTTAATGGAGAGACAGGACAGTGGATAGAGTTGGAAATCAGGGAGAGAGAGAAAGAGAGAGAAATGACATGCGGGAAAAGAGCCACAGGTCGGACTCGAACCCAGGGCCATAAATGGGGCGCGCACACTAACCATCAGCGCTACCAGTGCCCCGGATGTCAAAATGTTTGATACCTTAATACTTACCAATACCACAAGTTTTAAATCGATACAACTCCATTATTTCATCCTCAATAGTATCGAAAAAAGAATGAATCTTTAATAAAACCTGTAGATCTTCAGTCATATTGTTAACAACGCTGCCGCCAGCCAATGAGAGAGAGAGAGAGAGAGAGAGATAGAGAGAGAGAGAGAGAGAGAGAGAGAGAGAGAGAGAGCGAGACAGAGACAGACAGAGAGCTCTGTCTAAACTATACAAACACAGTGTGCAGGAGTTTGCCTGCAGTTGTTGTAAATCAAAAAAAAAACTCTCCCCATATTAGTTGCATAAGATTCCTGTTTTTGTTGCTGTGGCATCAATATTTGATTTTTACTTGTATTTTATTGAAGTATAAAGTGTCTTAACAACCTTCTAAGAAACGTTGCATGTTTTAGCCTGATATGAAGATAAAATTACAAAACTCTCATCAGACCATAAAATGAGAAATCGAGACAAAGAGGATCGATTTTAAAAAACCCATCAGCAACGTCCCACACACACGTTCAGCACACTTATTAAACCCAGGAGCAGAGACATTCAGTGTGTGACCATGAAAACAGTTTCCAGGCATAATCATCCTTTGTGCATGAAAACTAATTTCAGCTGATTGTGGATTTCTTTGTTTGTATGCTCCACGCTGTCTCCTGTCTGATTAGTAACCAAACCACACAGAGGCCCAGACCCTGCTCAAATATGTGAAAATGCATTTTTTTAGTTTACTGAACTAGGAAGGGTTTCTAGGCAAAGCCTGCACACTTCACAGCAGACAGCAAGGAGGAAAAAATGCATCCCACTCATATTCAAACAAGGCCAAAAAGGCAAACAAGGAAAAACCCAGACACGACGCACACGATTATTATTGACCAACAGAGGTAAGACGTAGCAGCTACGGGTCAAGGATTACAACACTGCCCACTAGTAAACACTACACACACACACTGCAGAGATACACACACACACACACACACACACACACACACACACACACACACACACACACACACACACACACACACACACACACACACACACACACACACACACACACACACACACACACACACACACACACACACACACACACACACACACACACACACACACACACACACACACACACTCAGAGTTATGCAACTGAGCAGGTATGAGGAAGTCAGGGGAGTCTTTGATGGGACAGAGAATCAGCAGAGCTCTGAGGGGAGGCTACAGGGCCATGCTAGCAGTTTAGTAGGAGTCAGTCCAGAGACGATTACACAACACTTTCCCATGCATGTCTGTGTGTGTGTGTGCATGTGTGTGTGGGTGGAATTGGGAGGGTCCATCTTTTCTGTCTAGTTTGTATATTAATGTGCCTTTTTGTCCACTTGTACTTTTGGTTCAACAAAAGGGCAGTGTGTGTCTGTGTGTATCTCTGCAGTGTGTGTCTGTGTGTATCTCTGCAGTGTGTGTATCTCTGCAGTGTGTCTGTGTGTGTACCTCTGCAGTGTGTGTATCTCTGCAGTGTGTGTCTGTGTGTATCTCTGCAGTGTGTATCTCTGCAGTGTGTCTGTGTGTGTACCTCTGCAGTGTGTGTATCACTGCAGTGTGTGTCTGTGTGTATCTCTGCAGTGTGTGTATCACTGCAGTGTGTGTATCTCTACAGTGTGTGTCTGTGTGTATCTCTCAGTGTGTGTGTATCTCTGCAGTGTGTGTCTGTGTGTATGTGTGTGTGTATCTCTGCAGTGTGTATCTGTGTGTATGTGTATCTCTGCAGTGTGTATCTCTGCAGTGTGTATCTGTGTGTATTGTAAAGTCTGCCTGCTGAGGAGTGACAAATAGAAGTTAGCCATTCATCTTTCATTCATAAGTTTATTGAGATCAAAGAGGATCTTAAGAGGACAGCACGAGGCCGAGTGTGTGATCTCTGTTTGATGTCAAGAGTGTCTGAACTACACACCCAGTGGGGGGGGGGGTGTAGGAGCAGAAAATATTGCAGTATGGCTAAAAGCCAGCCAGCCAATGAGCTAGCCAGCATGTCAAGGCAGATATGAGGGTACAAAGCTTAAGTAGTAAAAACAAAAAGGGGGGGGTAGGTCATAGGACAGATTGGGTTAGCCATCAGGTTAGTTTAAAGCGACAGATTTGAAATACATACCGCCCAGATGCAAGTCCAGGATTTCACTGTAATTAGAATCTCCCCAATAGTCTACAATGACAGGGATATATTAGAGATAGGAGTTACTTCACACTGCCCCAAACTGGGCACACAAACACACACACACACATTCACAGAACTCCTCAACAACAGCAAGTCATGCACGTTCCTGCAAACGTACGGACACACACACACACATGTACTCACTGCTGCAACACTCCCAACAAAGAGAGTGGCTCAGTACTCACCACTGTGCATAATCAATGCCATTTCAAAAAATTAATAACAGACTGCAACATAGATTTGCTGTGTGTGTGTCGTCCACCGGCTCGGCCTGCTCGTAATCACACACAGCCTCTTGTAGCGGTTTGTTTGTGCACAAGTCGAGGACATTGTTTTTATTAGATCAAATTGATTAAGTCGTCCTGAGTTCAAACGGGAGAAAAAAAAACAGTCTTCTTTTTTTCTCCAGTCAAGAATGTAAGATTACACGACATGACTGATTTGACACTTAATCTTTCCAGACTTAAAAAAAGTGTGAAGTGAAGCAGAGTCGGAAATCACTCTGGATTGCTTTAACTGGGATCATTAAAAAAGTCTCTCGACCAGAGCAAACGTTTTTGCAGGAACTATTTAAATCAAGAAGAAGTCCGCCTGCCAACCAATTTAAATTTGATTTCTTACAATCTGATTGCCTTTCTGAAATCTGAGCGTGACCTGAGTCTTGATCAGAGTGCAGAAACTCTCCCCGTTGAGAGAGGCAGTGAAATTACACACACACACACACACACACACACACACACACACGCAAATCTATGTCAGGACACACATTCTCCAAGTGGTCGCATGCAGCTCGGACGGGACGATGGCGGACGTGTTATGAACGAACAGATGTCGACATGTTCAGAGATGGAGAACTGTTGCAGTGTGTCACCACAGATGGAGCCTACATAACAGTGTCAAAATAAAGCAAAAAATATAAAAGGAAACTGCAGTAAATCTAATACCTGATCTTCTTTTGTGCTGTTTGGGTAACGTATAAGTACCTTTATACAATCCTTTAAGAGAGTAGAGTGGTAAACAAGTTAAAAACATGTGCAGTAGACCGCAGGAAGAGCTGATGGGAGAAGTCAAATATTATTTAGCTGGTGGGAAAGCGTCCGGATTTAAAGAAATTATCAATGCATCGCCTTTACGGGAATGCATCAAACCTTTGTGTTATTATGTTTCCATCACCATTAGGGTGAATTAGGATGAAATACACCATCAGCTCAGCACATTACTCGCATACAAAACTCACATCACCTAAATTATGTGTTATTGCTGCTGAGCACTAGTCATGCTTCTCGTGCTTATATAACCGTAGCAAATAAACAGACTTTGCTGCTCCCCTGACAAATAATGTATTCTTCATCCTGGAAGTATATTGTCTGTGATAGTCCCCCGTCAGGCACAGTTTGGGCTTATTACTTTGGAGAAACAAACGTGTCTTTCTGCATGCAGAAAAATCTCCGTCCTGAAGTACGCTTCAGACCGACTGATTTAAACGCTTAATGAAGACTGCGCTCTCAACACAGCCTTAAAGGACCACACAGGGAGCTCTTTTTGGAGGGGGTTACATCATCGATATTAACGATACTCCCTGGAGAGCTCTAGAAAAAAGCTGGACTAATTTCTTCTACACACATTAAAACACTTTGAATTGATAATAATAGGAGGTTTATATTTGTCCTGAGCTTTACAACAACCTTAAGTAACCAGAATATTATTTTCATGTCTATCTGCAGAAGCTTAACGGATACACGGCGCCACATGGGATGGGTGTGTGACGGGCTGTTACCTGCTTCCCCTCTTAGAGCTTTCTCCACGGCTACGCCACGCTCTTCAAGCTGCCGCTGCTTCTCCTCCACCTGCTCCAACTGTCTCTGGATGATCTGAAACGGAGAGGCAGGTTACAGTTACATTATTAATGAAATGCTCAGAAACGTCAACACAAGGGCGCTCCGCTACAACAACTTACAGCGTAATCACCTCCACAGTGCCACTAATTACATCTGATTTGTCCCATACGTTTCTGAGGGACGAGGATGCAGAGGTTACGTCAAACACCGCACTGATGCAACAGTTTAGGCTCATTAAAAATAAATGTCTGGGGGCGCACTGGGAGTACAGCTAATTACAGCTGTATTGATGTCTGCAAATAAAAGAACGAGCCTGTTCTGAAATATTCTTTCAGGGTTTTTTTTTTTTTAACCTCTACTAGTGATTTACATCTCGCCTCGTTCTCCCGCAGCACACTCTGACTTATTCTGCAGGAGAAGTGAAGGAAAACACTAAATAAACATCAGTGGTTATGCTGGAGTGTTTTTATATTTGAATCACACACTGAGGGAGTTATCAGAATATTGAATGACCTGTGAAGGTTCAGGAGACAACAAAGTCAGATAACACGACTTTGATGTTAGTGTGATTAAAACCCATTAAAACACATTGAAAACTACATCTTCAAGTAAATGGTGTCATTAAAGACTTATACCAGACTTGTTCTTCATAAAATATTTGACAAATTTGAACATTTTAATGTCACACTTAATGCATCAAATACATTATATGTAGAGCCTGACCGATTAATCGCCCAGCCGATATCAGCGTATCCAGTGACTATCAGTATCGGCTAATTTCATTGCAGATATTCGACAATATTCCTAGATTTATTCACCAGTCAAAAAGCATTTCATTTAAGTTTCATTGTATAACACTAGCAGTTCTCTGTCACCAGCAGAGGGCGCTACATTGATTACAAAAGGCATCATCCCTCTCCAGAGAGTAAAGCAGTAACGCACGAACATGCTCAGGTACTTTCCAGTTGAGTGACCTTCTTGTCTTCATTATAAATCTTTTCCACAAGTGTTTGATGACTGCATGTGAGGGATCAACACAATACATTTATAGATTTATATCTAACTATCTCTACAGATTTCATAGATCTAAGAAAGATATCGGGCGATATATAAACCATTGGATTTTTTTCTCACCAATATCAATATCTCTATACGATCCATATTTCCTTCCATATATTTTTCCCACTTCATTGAAATTGAATCGTTGAGTTATTCCCGTCCTTATCTGTTTTCACTGTACCTTGTTGTTAGCCATACATTTAGATTAACATGTCTTTAGGTGACTGAAGTAAAACCAGCTAATGCAGATCTTTACATGACCTGTAACAGTGACCCCTCTGGTGAAAAGAAGAACTGCACACAAAAGGTGCACTCGATGTGTTCAAACGGAGATATCTGAGCTGAACATGATTGGTTCTAATTTGTTTTTTTCTTAAACCTGTATCTGATGAAGAGATACAGAGAGAGATGTAAAAATGAAGAGAGACGGGGCAGTAGGAGAAGGAAAAGCCTAATTTAAAAGTTCAGACCCGAACTTCCTCGTTTCTGAACTTTATCAGTGCTGTGCAGCCACACGAGCTAAACAAGAAGCACAGTTTGTGTTCTGCAAATAGCCTCTAAGAGGACGCCAGATTCAGGGCAGCTAACCACAGCTCGGGGAGCAGAGACTTCAGCTGTGGCTTAGTGCTGAGTCAGCGGACTGGGAGCTCCACTGCAGAGTTACAACATCAATCACAGTGGATTTCCAAACCAGAGGACGTGTCTGGAGGAAGTCCAGGAGGGTTGAGTCACAGTTAAATAACTATATGGTACTTTGATAAAAACACAGACATGGGCATGTGGAGGTTTCTTCCTGTTAAAAAAAATAGTTTTAGTTCTGATTTGGAGCTTAAGAAATAAAAATGGATCAACCAGTAATGTGCAGTAATTACTTTTATATTATTAGAGATGCACCAATCCACTTTTTTTCAGTTCCGATCTGATTCTGATACATATGTAAAGATACTGATTCTGATATTTTTACATCATAACTAATAATGTTGTTGTTGTTGTTGGTATTACGTAAGGCTAAACAAAGCTGGCATTGCTTTGTGCTGGCTTCACATACAAACAGGAAGCAGTAACAGCTGTCAAGTTTTTCAAAATAAATCTTTTATACTGAAGTGTCAGGATTCTATTTTTGATCATATAGAAGGAGCTGTTCCATCTCGTCTGAACGTCGTCATGGGTAGATTTGTGAGCACTTCTTACACAGTTCAGTCTGTGTGAGCCGAGGATGTTTAAAGTGCCCAACCATCTTTCTTGATCAGTGACAATCGGTGCCGTCATTCTGATATCCGATATTTAAATTACATCAATATCGATATTAGATGGGATCAGTCCCATCTCTATATATTATGTACAATAATACATTTAAGCCTGCTTGCAATTTTACTTTTTAGAAATGGGATAAAGTACTTTCTGAAAGTTTGACTATAATGAACAATAGTCCTTTTGACATATAGTAAGGCTTTATTTTCCTTTTTCCTATCCTATCTTATTTGATGATAATTACCACTGAACAAAAGTAAATAAAACATGTAGTTCAGGTTGATTTTGAAAGATTTACAGATTTTTCACTAACTGAAAATGTGTCCTTACGATAAAGCAGAATCAAATCCCAAAGATCCAGAGACTTTTGACTCTAAACCACACACAGATCCCTCTCTCTCTCTGCGGTGATACAGGATCACCTCAGGTGAGTTACCTGAGCTCTGTGCAGTCTCTTCAGTTCCTCCTGCTTCGCTTGTCGTCTTGCAGCTTTCTGGACCCGTCGGGTCAGCTTGGCATTCAGCTCCTCTTCCGTGTAGGTTTTCTGGTGTAATGAACACAGAACAATAAGTTAAGATGGTCTTCAAAAGCTGCTGATTTGAGGAGCTGGTTGGACTCTGACCCCTCAGAGGGATCAGGAGAGGAGGGGGGGCTCATTAGACCTCCCTGCAGGTGAGGGACGACAATGACTAGCGCAGTTTAGCTCATAGTTCTGTTTACATCCTCACAGCTACAGGCTCCTCTCAGAATATAAATTAACAAACTGAGAATATGACAAACACATCAACTGCACTGCAGCGGTAACAGCTGTAATCCCTCTTCACATCATAATAGGCAGTACAGTGTGTGAATCAGCAGTGATGTCTCTGCTTTTAGCTGATTTGTGAGGACATAAAAAAGCCGGCATGAATCAGGAGGAAGAGAGAGCAGCGCCGAGGAAGACGTGTCAAAGTTATTCCAGTAGCCTGACTGAAGGGAAAACAGCGCCGAGGTGACAGAGAGGCAGGTTAATATCGTACCAAAGAGAGAGGAACAGCCCTGATGCTTCACTGACACCAGAAAGGGGAACCTGTGAGTCGTGTTTGAACAGCAGAGAGTGACCAGGCGCTGTGCTCAGCATCCAGAGAGGAGGAGGGGGGGTTAGTTTAAGGCCAGATGTGCAAAAAGGGTGTTATGACAATAAACCTGCACATGCGCGTGGGGGTGAAGGGTTGAGGGTGGTGGGGGGTTATCAACAGGAAATGTGTGTAATACTACCTTTGCGGCATACGATCTCTTGAACGCCAGTGCGTGAGGGACATAAACAGACTTTGGGAAGACAAAAAAAAAGAAAAAAAAAAGGAGGAAACAAACATGATACAGATGAAATGATTCAAACGGGTTAATGATTATGTGAAACTTGTCAAAAAAAATTAAACAACATAAAGTTATAATTTAGCTGCTACGATCAGAAACAGGCAATGTTAATATCCCACACCAACACAAAAGTGGCAGGTTGCCATGACAACCGATATGTCTGTGTTAATCAGGAATTAGTCTGAACAATTATTACCAATCACATTGTGGAAATTACAAAGACTACAAAGACCAATCTGAGCCAGAGGACGTGAGATATGAACTCTACAAGGATCTACAGGAGAGTGAAGCTAACACATCTACAGATCACAAACACTAGAGTCTCTGTCATTGAACTACACACGGCCTGGCAGGCATGATGCAGCTTCAACCTTCTGCTTCTCTAAGGTTTTTAATCCATAGTATGAAAGGTTAACAATATGTCAGTTCATTCTTCTTATACTGTTGGTTTTCAGAAATGAAGAAAAACTAAAGGAGAGCGTGTCTGAGTTTCTAAAATGTGTTTAAATAATTCATGCTGCTGGCCGTGAACTCGACTAGAGCACACACACACACAGACACACACACACACGGACACAGACACACACAGACATACACACACACACACACACACACACACACACACACACACACACACACACACACACACACACACACACACACACACACACACACACACACACACACACACACACACACACACACACACACACACACACACACACACACACACACACACACACACACACACACACACACACACACACACACACACACACACACACACACACACACACACACACCAGCAGTGGATACAATCATTTTGAATTTCAGCCCAACATAATGAATGCAGATGGATTCACAGAAAAGAACGGGTGTGATTGGACGGTTTGGTTTTGCATCTTAATAAGATCTGATCGTCCTGCATGTTTTATGAATTCAGCTTCTAGAAGAATTCACTGTTGAGTAATTGTGTTTCCTTGATGTCATTATGACGTGCATGAAGCATGTCAGAGCTTGAAAAACGTGTTTTTATGGTTATGAAATGGTTGCATGATTTGCTCTGCGATCACTTGAGGGAATAAAGTAAACTTCTTTAATTGTCAGAGCAATTTATAAAATAAACAAGTTAAGATTAAAGGATTCTTTTGAGGTCAGTTACAAAAGCCTTTTGATTTACATGAAAAAAATCATTTTTGCAAAGTAATGTTGAGGTGAAATTCACAATAATGTAACCCCGTTCTGCACAATACCTCCTCATCCTCCTTCTCCCGCACTTTCTCTTTCTGCCTCTCTTTCAACCTCTTTCTTTCCTTTAGCTCCCTCCTTTTCTCCTTATCCAGTTTCTCCTCCTTTATCGCCTCCTTCTGAATCCCTGACACTAGGTCAAAGATGTCCGTATGTCGCTGAGAGTGGAGGAAATTAATTTAATGAAAAGTGATTTAACAAAAAAAAAAAGAGACAAGACACAGATGTGATGGGGACTCGTATAGAATCGCTCAGCCGCTCTGCAAACATCGTTTCACTCACTCCTAACGGGAAACACTAAACAGGCACACCTGCAGGAGATAGATAGAAAGATGTTTAAGACTTTATGCTTCCATAGTTACTCACATCTGCCTTTGACTTCTGGGAGGATCGCTCCAGAACGTCGTCACATGACAGGTCCGAGTCCTCAGAGAAACTCAAGTTTCTGCGCGTTTTCAAGTCTGTGGAAACAAAAAAGCAAAGTGAGACATTCATTTTTTTTTTTTCATGAATTAAAACAAATAACTTATTAAAGAGGACATATTATCCTGCTTTTCCACCTTTTCAAACAGTCCCCTGTGGTCGAAATGAAACATCTGTGCTGTGCTTTGGTCAAAATATAACATGAATCAAGCACCAGAGGAGGTTTGTGACCCTGTATAAACCAGCTCTCTCAGAACGCTCCGTTTTGGTGTGTGTGTCTCTTTAAATGCAATGACCCCCCCCCCCCCCCCCCCCCCGAGTTTTCCCAGCAGACATCACTCCTCTGTAGAGAGAATAAAAATGGCAGTTTTGTTCTAGGCTGGGGGTGGAGTCCATGGGTGGAGATACCAGGGGAGGGGAGTTTTTTTTTCTTTTTCTCTGTGTTGTAAGACTTATGCAGGCCACAAAGAAAGGACTGGATGGGTTTATTTCACATTTTGTGGGTCAGTAGACACTCAGGTTACACAACTATATGTTCAACAACACTGTAAGAGTGGATATTTCAGAATATGTCCCCTTTAAGACAGATGTACTGGTTTAACAATCTTACCTGATGATTTCCCAAGAGGTGACGCTCTCTTCTTCCCAGAGTCCTGAGTGGTGGAGGTGGACGATGGCGTGCTCGGACATGACTTATCGTCCTTCTTCTTTTTGTCCTTCTTGTACCCCGAGAAGACGGCCTTCCACAGCGACTTGTGTTTCGGCGGCGTCTCGTCCGCGCCGGAGACCCTGCCGCTGTCGTTCTTGGCCTTCTTCTCCTTCTTGTTTTTGCGAGGCGAGAACAGCGAACTCCGTTTCTTGCTCTTGCTGGAAGACGAGCCGCCGTCCGAAGAAGCCACCGAGCTGTCCAGACTCTTGTTGCTGCTGAAGAAGCGCTCCGGTAGAGTCTCCGCCTTCTTTGACTCCAGAGCTTTCACCGCCGACGTCTTTGGAGACACGGCTGCCTTTTTACTTTTTTTAGAGGCGTCCGGTGTGACTGACCAGGCCACCTTCGGAGACGCCCCCTTGTCCGTGTCCGATTCTTTCATTTTGTTTAGCTGCTTGGCCATGGCGTCCTTCAGAGCCTGGCTCTTGATGGACTTCTCTCTGGCCCTCATTCTCTCCTCGGCGATCTCTTTGGCCTCTGGGGAGAACTGAGTCGCCCTCTGGTTCTTGGAGGCCATGTTGGCGGGGATGTTGGGTTTACCATTTTCCATCGCTAGGGCCAAATGCAGGGGAGGTCTCGCTTTGCTCGGCTTGCTGGTGGGTGGAGTGTAATACTTGTTCATGCTTGTGTCTGGTGTCCGCTCGTCGTACGTCTCCTCCACGTCGTCAGCGAACGGAATCTCCTCCACCGTCTCCACAAACGACTTCCTCAACTCCTGCGGCCGAGGCTTCTTCTTCTCCCTCATGACGACCACCGGAGCTGGTTCGGGTTCGGCCTGAGGCGACGGGACTTTCCTGGGCGCAGGTTTGGGTGGCGACACGGGGCTCGGCTGCGTCCTCGGTGCAGGGATGGGACTCTTGGTTTTTGCCGGCTCTTTGGCGGGCTCAGGCGGAGGTTTTTCTGTTCCGTTCCTCCACGACACCTGGTGCCTCTGCTGCCTGAACACAGCTGGAGACTGATTAGCTGGCACAGGAGGCGGTGGGCTGGAGGGCGGGGTGAGCATGGCCGAGTCAGACGTGATGTAGCTGTCACTGTTTGCTGTTTGACTCGTGACCATGCTCCCATTTAACCCCAGGCCAGAGCTGCTGCTGAGGTCCCTCTTATCGGAGCCGTTACTCTTGGGCTCGACGGAGGCGATGGGGGTGATAACCTGACCCTCCAGAGTGATGTTGAGTCTGCGAATGACAGCGCGGCCGCTGGAGGGAGGTTTCTGCTCCTCAGGCACCTCTGCAGGCTGCGTCTTAGCAGGCGTGACGTCCTGCAGGGGGGTGTCCTCAACACTCCTCTCTAGGATTTTACTGCTGCGGTCCAGAGGAGTAAGGCCCAGGCTCTTCCTGATCTCAGCGCTCTTCAACCAAAACTCCTCGATGATATCTGTCTTTTTAGAAGGAGTGTCCTCTGTTGAGGTATCTGT